GGCGGATGGGGGCTTCTTCCCCCTGGAGGAGCTACAGTACATCTTCCCCAGCCTGGACGAGCTCATCGAGGTGCATTGTGAGTGCAGGGCAGTGGCCCCACAGTACGCCCCACCATGGGCTCCCCCCTTCAAGGCCTTGATGGCTAGACCTGGAGCCTAGCGCATCTCCCTGAGTCCCTGCTGTGGCAAGCTTTTTCTAGCCGTGGGGACAGCCCCAACCCTCCCCCCCCAGCTCACATTCCAGGGGGCACATCAACAAGCACGTGGCAGGGGGGACAGCCCAGTGGCTCCAAGGATCAGACAGACACCCCTGCAGCCCAGCCACCACCATCTCCCAATCAGCTCTACGTACAACCTTGAGGGCCCTGACAGAGCCCCCCCCCCCTTCCTCACTGCTCTCCACAGCCCAGTTCCTCGATCAACTGATGAAGCGGAGGCAGGATAGTGGCTACCTCATTGAGGAGATCGGAGATGTACTGCTGGCCCGGGTGAGGGCGCCCAGCCCCCACCCCTCTGGGAGCCCCTTCTCCCAGCCGGGGACCTGGAATGCAGGCCCGAGGAGGCCAGGTCTCAAACCTCCCATCCATCAACCCCCAGGGGTCTGGGCCCCTAGCCCTGTCCTCCTGTTAGGCTGCTATTCCCCTGTGAGGCCCTGCTCTCCCCAATCCTACCTGAGACAGCCTCCCTGGCCTGAATCTCACTATAGTTTGATGGTACCGAAGGCTCCTGGTTCCAGAAAATCTCCTCCCGCTTCTGCAGCCACCAGTCATTTGCCTTAGAGCAGCTCAAAGCCAAACAGCGCAAGGAGCCTCGGTTCTGCGCCTTTGTACAGGTAAGGGGGAGGCCTGGGCCCCAGGGTCCCAGGGGAGGTGGGAGCTGGAGTCCCAGTCCCCGGGGTGAGCCCTAGTGTGGGCCACCTCCTTGCCGCTCCCCCCTCCCAGGAAGCCGAGAGCCGCCCACGGTGCCGCCGCCTGCAGTTGAAGGACATGATCCCCACGGAGATGCAGCGCCTGACCAAGTACCCCCTGCTTCTGCAGAGTATCGGGCAGAACACAGGTACTGCGGGCCCCGCCCCGCCCCGCCCCCGGGCCCCCCTCCCCTCCCTGACCACCGACCACCGACCACCGTGGCTGTGGGACCGACCACCGTGGCTGTGGGACCGGCAGCTTCCAGGGCTGGAGTTCACCAGGGCTGCTCTCTCCTACAGAAGAGGGGGCGGAACGGTTGAAAGTGGAGCGGGCGGCTGAGTGCTGCCGGGAAATTCTGCACCACGTCAACCAGGCCGTGCGCGATATAGAGGACTGGCTGGTGAGCCTGCGCGTGGCCCTGGGCTTGGGGCAGTGGGACAGATGTGTGCAGAGGTTGGCCAGGGCCTTCGTCTTGTCCACCTCGGGGCCACTTCTTAGGTGCTCGGGCCTGGCCCTGGGCTTGTCCCCCTCTGGGTCACTGTGGGTCAGCCCCAGTCCTTGGGTTGTCACCGTGACTCTCCCTTCCCTGCCTCAGCGGCTAAAGGATTATCAGAAGCGACTGGACTTGTCCCACCTGCGGCAGAGCAGCGACCCCATGCTGAACGAGTTCAAGGTGCCCCACCTGCCCTCCCCTCCTCTCCCTTGCCTTCCCCTGCCCTCAGCCTGCCCTGACCCTCTGGCCCCGGGGAGTCTCTGATAATGCACCTAGGGGTTGAGAGCCACCCCTGTGCCCCACACCCCTCCTCATTCCCAGCGGGTTGCCCCTCCTGATGATCCCTGACTGTGACCCTGGCCCCGAGTTCGTCCAGGACTCTCCCCTGCCCTTGCCATGGTCACCGACCATGACCCCTTCCTGCCTCCAGAGCCTAGATATCACCAAGAAGAAGCTGATCCATGAGGGCCCGCTGACGTGGCGGGTGACAAAGGACAAGGCTGTAGGTGGGTGCTGGCACTGAGCGGGGCTCAGGGGCGGGGCACTTGGAGAGGGGAGGCTGCTGAGCGCTGGCCTGGCCCCGCAGAGGTCCACGTGCTGCTGCTGGACGACCTGCTGCTACTGCTCCAGCGCCAGGACGAGCGGCTGCTGCTCAAGTCACACAGCCGGACGCTGACGCCCACGCCCGACGGCAAGACCATGCTGCGGCCCGTGCTGCCACTCACGTCTGCCATGACTCGCGAGGTGGCCACCGGTGAGGCCCGGCCAAGTGACCCGGGGCACACCCACCCATGGAGTGGGAGGTGACCCTCTGGAGGGCTGGGGGACGTACGTTCTAGCACTGGGATGCCGCTGTGGGGGCTGAGAAGGGGGGAGGTGGGAGAAGCCCCCGGCTCGCCGTGGCGGGGCCCGGGCTGGTTGTAGATCTCGGTGAGCTCTGCACATTTGCACAAAGGAGCAGCCAGCTTGGACCAGCGTTTGAAAAGACACCATGGATGCCTCTTGGTGACAGTGGGGGAGCAGGGGTGGGGGCTGGAGCCCAGTGAGGGGGGTTGACACGGGTGCTGCCGGGAAGCTGCACCAGTGGCTCCGCGGGTCCTGTGTGTAGAGCCAGGCTGGGGACTGGCTGCCTGATGGATTACGGGTTGTGAGAGGGAGGGATGGACTGACCCCAGGAGTTGGAGGTGACACCACCACCTTCAGGGGCTTGCCCAGGCTCAGGGGAGACGCAAGCTGGGGTGATCCTGGCCCTGAACCCCCTCTCCCTCCTTCTGCAGATCACAAAGCCTTCTATGTCCTTTTTACCTGGGACCAAGAGGCTCAGATCTACGAACTGGTGGCCCAGACTGTGTCGGAACGGAAGAAGTGAGGGGTCTGGGTTCTAAGCTTGGGTGGAAGAAGCGGCCCAGGCCCTGGGTCTCCAAGGGCAGGGCTGCTGGTGGGAGGCCCTGACACGGTCTGGGGGCTCTGACTGCCCCGGGGGTGACCTCTCTCCCCAGCTGGTGTGCCCTCATCAGTGAGACTGCTGGATCCTTGAAGGTCCCCGCCCCTGCCTCTCGCCCCAAACCCCGGCCCAGCCCGAGCAGGTGAGGGGCCTGGGAGAAACTGGAGGCCTAAGGAGCCACGGGAGACCTCTGTGTGTGTCCAGAACCTGAGCTCTGGCCGTGTGTGTGTGTGTGTGCGTGTGTGTGTGTGTGTGTGTGTGTGCGTGCGTGCGTGCGCGCACGCCACTCCATTGCAGCCCATCTGGCTCCTGTGCAGGTTCCTCTGTCTCCACCTTCCAGCCTCAGCTTCTGTTTATGTCTTTGAACCTCCCTGCCTCCTGCTCTTGTCTCCCTGCTGTCCCCCAGGCCCTGGGGTCACCCAGTACTTCCTCCCCACAGCACCCGGGAAGCCCTGCTCAGCAGCTCAGACAATGGCAATGGTGGTGGCCGAGAGATGCCCCCAGCTGACGGTGAGCTGTTTTCGGGGGCGGTGGGTGGGGGCAGGGTTGCCGAGGAAGCCCAGCAGGAACTGAGCACCCTCCTTGCTCCCCCACCCAGGCCGCATGGAGAGAATCTTCAGTTCCCTCCTGCCCTACAGCAGACCTGGCCCTGAAGGCCAGCTGGCTGCCAAGGCCCTGGAGAAAGGTAGCCCAGTGCAGCCCCGTTCCGGGCTGCTGCTAGCCTGGCTTTCCAGCCTGCCCACGCCCATGCCCACTGCGTGCCAGGCCTGTACCCCCACCTCAGGGCCCCCAAGCCCCTCCTCCTTCTGTCCCTTCCTTGACCTTCCAATCCAGCTTTTCCCTGGATGCCATCTTCCCTGCCCTCCCACCCTGCCCCAGCTCTAGCCACAGCCTCACCTCTGCACCCCCATGCCCCCCCCCCCCACTGTGGCCTGGCTCCCACCCTCCTGTCTCTCACCCTCCTGTCTCTCACCCTCCTGTCTCTTTCCCAGTCCTGCCTCTGACTCTGTGCTCTTGCCCCTGGCCAGTGCTGTCCCTGAAGCAACTCCTGATTCCCTCCGAGGAAGATAGTGGGGCGGGGCCTCCCCGTGAAGGGGATGGGGTCCCAGGGGGCGGCCCCCTAAGCCCGACCCTGACCCAGGAAATTCAGGAGAAGCTGCTCAGCCTGGAGGAGACCATTAAACAGCTGGAGGTGGTGGCCTGGGGGGAGGGTTGGGGGTGGGGGGAGGACAGGGCTCCGTGGAGGGACCCCCACTCATTGATGATCCCCCCACCCCAACCAGGAGGTGGAAGAGGAATTCTGTCGCCTACGACTCCTCGTGTGTCAGCTTGGGGAAAACAGCGTCCCCCAGCCTGGCTGCACCTGAGGGCCCCTGCCCCAGGCAGGTGAGTGGGGGAACCAGAGGGGCCAGCTCAGGGCTCCCTTATCCACAGCCCTGGCCATGTCTCTCCCTGAGCCACCTCCTGGCCGTCAGTTTCTGCTTCTCAGGCTCTTCTGTGCCCTCCCTGCCTATCCTCTCCCCCTCTTCATCCCCCACCTCTGTCCTTGCTCCCAACCCCACACCCTCTCTCCCCCTTTCCTCGGTTTCTGTCTTCATCTCTCCGCTTCCCTTCTCCTCCCTCCCTCAGGCCTTCCGCAAGACTGAGGGCCACCCGCCCCCACCGCACAGCTGCCGCAGCATCTCCAACCCCAAGGGCCTGAGGAGAGGGAGCCAGGCGTGCCTGGGGGGGGTGTCCAGCTGGGATCACTGCCTCCCCCCAGCCTCCCACTGGCCTTGGCCTTCTCTCCCTCCTGCTTGGGGGACTCAGGGCTTCATTCCAGGGCGGACCCGCAGTGACCTCCCAGTCCCTGGGCCAGCTCCGTATTGCCTGGGGGTAGGCCACCCCCACCCCCACCCCCACCCCCAAGTGCCTTTGCTCTGTTTTTATATCCTGAATTGGAGGTTTATTTTTTAATATATATTATCGAAGAAGAGGTCTGTCTGTGTGTGGGGGGGGGGTGCCCTGGAGTGGCTTCTGGACCCTCCGGGACTGTCTGGCATCACCCTCCTTTCCCCAGTTCTTAATTCCTGTACTTTACCAGAGACTCCCACAGCCACCCCCTCCCACACCCTGAGCTCCCACTGTCACTCATGACGCTGGGTTCCCCCACATCTCACACTCCTTTCCGTTCTTTTATTTTTGTAGTAAACTCTCTGGAGGTGGCTGTTAGGGGTCGTGGGGAGGGGGCCCTCCTGGGCAGGGGCTGGGGGCGGGTTTATTGCTCTGAGCTCCCTGTCCCCAGGGGGCCTGTGTGGGGCGGGGGTCAGGACTGGGGCTGGCACAAGGGCAGACATGGCCGAACACACACGCAGGTCACAGCACAGGGGTGGGTGGGCAGGAGAGGCTGGGCGCCATATTGCACTTTGGGAGTGGGGCCAGGCGGGGACCCCCTCAAACTGGAGCCTGGGAAGGAGGCTGGAGACCATTGTGTTCCCTCCCCCTCTGACAGGGGAGGTGAGACCCCAACCCAGGGTTAGGGAAGAAGGTGGGCCACCACGTGGCGGTCTTGGGAGGGGCTGAGGGCAGGTCCTTGGCCTTGGGCAGGACATGGGGGTGGGGGGCAGACTGGACCACGGCAGAGGCTGCCCCCCAAGCCCCACCCTGGCAGAATCCTTTACCCCACACTGGCTCAGCTGCTGAGCCCCCCTTTGCTCGCCTTGGACTTGGGGGCCACAGGGAGGCCCTCGTCGCCCTCACTGTCAGAGCTGCAGCCGCTGACGTCCGTGATCTCCAGCTCCGAGTCGCTGTCCTCCTTCCCGCCCAGCGCAGTCTCTGGACCCCCAGCTCCGGGCAGTGCCAGGCGAGGAGCTGCCACCAGGCCTGAGGGGCGCTCAGAGCCCAGGCCGTCCCCCGTCGCAGCCAGCAGGGGTGAAGGCGTGGGGCCTCCCCCAGCCCCTGCTGAGGGCAGGTGGCCCAGGGAACCGGCCAGAGGGTTGGGGTAGAAGTGTGGGGGGTAGAGAGAGGGGGGTAGCTTGGGGAAGGGGCCAGTCAGGTACGGGTTAAAGTTCCAGGGGTACTCTGGGAAGGTGCGGCCATAAGGACCCAGCAGGCCAGGGGGCTTGGAATAGCCAGTGGCACCTGGTGAGTACAGGGGACGGAGGGTCAGGCCAGGCACGCCTCCCTGCGTGTTCCACCCGGTTCTCCCCCTCTCCCCCACGCAGCATCTGCCGCCCTCCACCCTGTGGTTGCCCCCAGCTCTTCCCTGGTCACAACCTTCCTTTGGTCCCCTGAGAGCCCTTCTCCCCAGCCATCCCCTCTCTAGTTTCCCTCCTCCCTGCTTCTCCACGAATCCTCCTGTGGCTTTTAAAACACGTATGCACACACAACCTCGCCCTGGGCCTCCTTCCTGCATCCTGTCTCTCCCCATCGTTGCCTATCCTTTCCCCTCAAACACATGCAGCATGCCCCCACCCCCACCCCCACACACCCCCCATAGTCGGCACCAGCATCCACAGGCCCTTACCGGAGCCCAGGAACGGGAAAGGGCTGTCCAGACGCAGTTTGTCTGTCTCAGGGGTGAACAGGGGCGCCCGGGCCCCTGGCTCTCCCAGGCGAGGGGCAGAGAACAGGGTCTGCAGGGTCTGGGGGCGAGGGGGGAGGGGAGCACTGCTCAGATTGGCTGCCCCGTCCCCAGGGATTGATGACAGGGGAGGGGGCACCAGATGCCCAGTTCTGGGACTTCAGTGTCCCTGACTCACCTCAGGGGTAAGGGGAGGAGCATCTGGCCCAGGGGTGCCCCCAAAAGGACCTGGGGTCAGCAAGAGTGGGGAGCCCGTGGTGGCTGCTGCCACATCCAACAGTGGGTAGTTGACAAGCACGACTTTGCTGAAGTTGAACTTGTAAGTGAACCTCTTCCCTTTAGTCTTATGGAGAATCCGTTTATTGTAGTAGTAGCTGTAGGGAGAAGAATGAAGGACTGCTGGGCAGGGGCCCCTAACTCATGTTCTGTCCCAGGCACAGAGCACTACAGTTTGGGGGAACTGAGGCTCACAGAAGTCCCCTAAGGTCGCAAGGCAAGGAAAGGGTGAAGCGGGCTGGGATCCTGGCTTCCGGCCTTCCTCCTTGCTTCCCGTCCACTCACAAGTAATCATAGTAGCTACTGCATGCAGATCCCTGCGCGGTGGGGTCCAAGGGATTCTGCCCCAGGGGGAAGGGGGTCCAGAGGGACAGGGAGGGGAGAAAGGGCAAGGTGCCAGGCAGCCTCTCCCCACCCCTCCTCACCGCAGGGCCCGGCTCAGCTTGTCATAATTCATGTGGGGCTTGCACTTGCGGATGCCCCAGAGCCGAGCCACCTCATCGGGGTCCTTGATGACGAATTCCCCGTAGTCCCCCTGCCAGGCGATGACACCCTGGTATTCCTCCTTCTGCAGCAGCTCCAGGATAAAGTGCCACAGCTGGATCTGCCTCGAGCCAGGGGACGACTCCGGCTTGTAGGCCCAATCTGGGAAGGCAAACCCTGGGGACAGGAGGCAGGGGAGTGGCCCCGGGTCAGGATGCCGAGTCCAGGGCTCCAGGTCCTGCTTGGACTCAGGGACCAAGAGGCACCTGGTCTTCCCTGGACTCCCAGCCTCTGATGAACATCCAGCTACCCACCCCTTGACGTCTGTAGGGACCCAATTTCTACTCTCTGGACCCCAGCTGGTGTCCAGTCCCCCGTCTGGCCAAATGGTAGACAGGAACTCAGTTGTCCAGGGACCCTGGGGTGGCACCTCTAGCCTCAGCCTCGACCTTGGTACAAGTCTGCCAGGTTCCGTGCCCCAGGGTAGAGGTGGGAGGGATCAGTTTCCTGTGGCCTCGACCATGGGGAAGAAACAGAGGGGGCGCCTTACAGGGAAGGGCTCTCCTGACGCACGCACAGCCCTCCTGCTGCCCCCTCCTGCCCTGCCCTGGGAAGCCCCTGGCCTCCTGCTCTCTGGAACACCCCTGACCCTTGCTGCGTTCCCTCCTTCCTGTCCCTTGCCCCCTGCTCCATCTCTCCCCAAAGCCCTCCACTGACCACCCCCCCCCACCCGGCGTGGCCAGGCCAGGCCCATGTGCATGTGCATCTTTGCACCTGTCTGTGTATTTACACGTCTCCCGTCCCATGTCCCCTCCTACATCTGGCTTTGTCGGTCTGAGAGCAGTGTGCATAAGCGTATACCCACAGCACGCATTCACACACATGTCCCCTCACACTCAAGGGATGCCCAGCTACACCGTGGGACACAGACGCCCCCGAGGGCTGCGCTCCTGCTGGAGCACCTCACCCACAACCCGCCACCACGGCAGGCACACCAGATACCCAGCTTTGGCCATCTGTCCCAACACACAATCGTACATCTTCTCAGGCCCCTCAGAACCAGGACCGACTACCAACACAGCCATAATAGATGCGCAGGACCCCAAAGGCCGAGATAACACACCGTGTGGTAGAACCAGTGAGTGCAGCACGGAGACGCATGTCACCCTGAAAGGCACGCAGGCTGAGGCCATGGGTGCAGGACAGCCCCCCAGCCCCCATGGGCTCCTGCGCTCCGTAACACCCGCAGCCCGCTCTGAAGCACACATGTCACACACACAAGGGTCCTGCACCCTGTTGTCTAGATGTGCCAAAGCAGCTGGATGGAAAAGGGAGGGTCTTGCCCACCCCCTAAGCCTCCCTTCCCATCCAGAAGGCCCTGGGCCCGCTTCTGTGCTCAATCCTGGGCTACTCCCTCTGTCCCCCCCCACCCTCAGAGACCCCAGGGCCAGGCATGAGAATAGAAGGCAGGATTAGCCTATAAAGACCGAAGAATGGGAGGAAAACAAAGCTAAGCTGAGAGACTGGCCACATATCTACCTGCTGTGGGGGCCCAGGGTAGGTCCTTGCCCTCTCTGGCTTAGTAAAATTTCAGCGGTAGGAGGCAAGGAGCAGCAGGGTCCCACCCAGGCTCCTGGTGTGTGAAAGCGGGTGCTAACGCCTTCCTGCCGAAGGCTCAGGCCAGGCAGTTTCCTCCCTGAAGAGAGAATTTTTCTCTCAATTTTGTTTTGGGTCTTCCTTACCTCAGATGACGGAGCCCGATCAGCTCATGAGCTCTGGCCCATTCCACACCCGCTGCTGCATCTCACACACACACACACACACACACCCAAGGGGACAGAGCACAACTGGCCGTACACCTGCAAATACACAACCCAATCCAGAATCACCACCTGCCCTCGAACACGTCTGCTGAAACAGATCGTACCTGCCGGGACCCACACACACGACTAGAAAGGACCCGCAACTTCAGCCTACAGACAGACACACCGTGACAGCCCCTCAGGTTCAGTCACACTCAGGGACAACACAGATGCAAGAACCCCTTCCCCCACCACACACACACACCAACACAGAGGCCTGGGGACACCCACCCACGCAGCCCAAAGGGCACGGAGACCTCCTTTCTGGCCCGTGACGCACACTGGGAAGTAATGGTGGAAAGCTCTTCATGCCCCAAGGCAGGTACGTACTTGGCAAGCCCGCAGACGCCCCCAATCCTAAAATGTAGGCATGCTCTGCTCGATGTCCCAAAGAAACGCGGCCCGCCCAGCAACACTCGGGTAGCCTCGTGTGTGCGTGTATGCACAAGCAGGCTCACCAGCTCACACAAAGACAGATGTTGCACTCTCACTTTCGCAGTGGGACCCCTTCTTCCAGAAGCACTGACGTGTGACACAAGGACACACTCTGAGCCCCCAAAGAAGCAGGCACAGAGTCCTAGTCTACACATGCGCACACACATGTGCACACACGCACACACAGGCACTCCCCATCTGTGGGGCGAGTGACTTGGACTCAAATGCACGTCCAAGCCAGTCTTACTGTCCACATCCCCAGCTCTGAGTGTCCACTTCTGAGCAAGCCGTCCTCTGTCCCAGGGCTCCGGCTGGCTGGGCCGTTCTCCGCGTCCCCCGGCCAGGCAGTCCCTGTCCATTTGTCCACCTGCGCCTGGCTGGGTGCCCCCTCTGGTCCCCGGCCCCACTCCATTACTGCCTGTGTGTCTGCAGTATCCTTGCCTCTCTGCCCAAAGGTCCTGGGTGGGAGCAGGCTGAGACCCCAGGACCTTGGATCCCAGGATCCTGTCCCTCTCGGACCCCGAAACCTCCCCTACCCTCCAAAGACCCACACGGCCCAGCAGGAGGTGGCAGGGACATCTGGCTGTGAAGTTTTTAGCCAAGTTTTTCATTAGGGGGTTGCATTCAGGGGGCGGTGACAGACCCGGACAGAGGAGGGAGGACAGGAAGAGGTGCAGAAAGGAGGAGCCAGCTGGCCGGGAGGGGTGGGAGGTCCGGGCCAGTGGGCCAGTTACCGGGGGTCCAGAGAGCCGGCAGGGCAGGCGGGGCGAAGAGAAGGTCGGAGACGCAGCTACAGTCCATGGTGGAGCCAGCCCTGCAGAGAGGCCGGGACAGACACGCGGGGACAGGCAGGAGAGACAGACAGGGGTCAGTGGGGCGGGCGCTCCGCCGGGGCCCACCCGGCCTGCCACCCGCCACCCCTCTCCACCCACGTCCCGCCGACCCTGCCTCCCAGCCTCTTCCTCCAGCAGCCTCGTCCTCACTCTGTGCCTCAGTCACTACCCACGTCGCCCCCGGCCTCCCTCCCCGCTGCTCCCACTCCCCGGCTCGCCACCCGCCCGCCCTGCACCAGCTTTGCCGCCGCCTCTCCGGCCGGCCGGCTCGCGCCTGACCTCTCATCCGGCTCAGCGTCTCTGGGTCTCTGTCTCTCTATCTGGCCGCCCCAGATTTGTCTCGCTCTGAACCTCGCCCCCACCCCCTGGCCCGCCCAGTGGACCCCCGGGCTGGCTCATCTAGCTCCCAAGTAGCCCCCAGCTTTCATCTGCCGGCCCAGAGAGCGCCAGAATGGGCCCGCCCCCCCCTCAGAGCAGACCCCAGCACCCTGCAGGAGGGACCCCACAGATGCTCCTCCCTGACCTCAGACCCCTAGCACTTGCACCTGCCTTCTCCAGCCTGGACAGCTCCCTCAGACAGACACCCCTTCCCCCTAGATCTGCCTCCCCTCACCCCACAGC